GAAAGGGTTACATCTTGGTTCATACGAAATAATCGGCTAATAAAATAATCGAATCTTCGTTGATATTATTACAAAATAATTGAATCTTTGTTAAGATAACGTCGGGAATATTTTTCTAAAAAAAAAAACTAACCTAACACCTAACTCGGTAAAGGGTTAAATCTTGGTTCATACGAAATACTCGGCTGATAAAATAATCGAATCTTCGTTGATATTATTACCAAGTATCAAACGTTGTTGACCGGTCACGAGTTAACTCGTGTTTGCACTTGCATTAGCTATTTCAATTTTTGAAACGCAGGGCAATATAGAATATTGCAAAAGCTTTGTTCATCGTGTTTAGATTAATTCGTGGACGAATGGGTAAGTTTTTCATAAGTAATAAAACACTTTATTCCTTCTGGAATAAAGAAACGATAACACAGTTAATAACACAGTAATTAAACGACTTACTTGTTATTCATGAAAAAGAAAAAAAATACGTTTTGGATATCGATGTCAATTATAAAATTTCATCGAAATATGTTGATGGAGAAACAAGCAACAGGCATCGAAAGATGTAAGAATCTGCAGATTTATTACAGTTTTACGCGGAAAGTCGTGATAGTGCGATTTTCATCATCTTTAACCGTTTGTAGCTCATAGAAACATTAACCGACTTCGATGAAATTTTCACCGTGTGTATAATTGACGTAGATCTACGAAACGTATTTTTTAGATTTTCATTTCGAGCTCAGATAAAAAAGTTGTAAAAACGACCTTCGCTATTTTCTTCGCGATTCAGACTAATTGCAGTTTTTCCAAAAATTTATACAAACGTCGGAATGACGGCCAAAAACCATTTCTCTAAGCCTTATAAAAACAGCAGTGCAAAGTGAAATTTTTTTGACAGCTATCGAGAACCGAGAAGTCACGCGTACGCATTTGTTCGATCGCGCGCGGATGAGCCTCTGTTCTCCGCCCCTGAGCGCGGGCTCTACGCGCGCTGTAATTGGCCAGTGTTTTTCGTTAATAACTCGAAAACGAAGCTTCAAACTGGATTTTGGAAAAGGAAAAAGTTGTTCAGAGTCACCTCAGCTACCCCCCATTTCCGGATGTTCGAGGAGTTACGGGACACCCTGTATAACGCCGGAAATATGAACGTCGAGAATATTTTTCTAAAAAAAAAAACTAACCTAATACCGATCTCGGGAAAGGGTTAAATCTTGGTTAATACGAAATAATCGGCTGATAAAATAATCGAACCTTCATTGATATTATTACGAAGTAATTGAATCTTGGTTAATATAACGTCGGGAATATTTTTCTAAAAAAAAAAACCAACCTAATACCGAACTCGGGAAGAAAACCGTCGGGATCTCGGTGAATATGCTTGTAAAAACGCTTTGCGAGTTCGGCATTAGGTTAGTTTTTTTTTTTAGAAAAATATTCCCGACTCTCATACTGCCGACGGTTCGATTAACGAAGATACGATTAACGAAGATACGATTAACGAAGATTCGATTAACGAAGATACGATTAACGATGATACGATTAACGATGATACGATTAACGATTAACGATGATACGATTAACCTCTTAACGTATGACAACGTGTCAGACTCGCGCCGAAGATGTGAGAAAAACAATTATATTAGTGAGAAAAATTCATTGCAATCCTAATTTTATTGTAATTCGATTAGCTTTTCTCGCCTGGTACAGTACTAAAACAGAAAATCGCTGACGCTTGGATACACAGTCGGAAAAGAAATCATAGTTTAAGGGGTTAACTAAGATACGATTAACGAAGATTCGAGAAAGAGAGAGGAATGGTGCAGAGGAATGGTGTTAAATGAGAAATGAAAGACGAGAGCGAAAACGTTACTTGCTGTAATAGTTGTTGCAAATCCGTCGGTAAAGGCGGAGCCCTGCCCGCGATCGACGCCTTCTTTTCGTGATGCATCGGAGAGATCCGCCGCTACTAGATCCGGTAGTAATTAGCGTTGATCGTTGCGAACTGTAGGGTAAACGGAGAAAAAGTATTTCTTGCGACGTGGTATATGAGGAATAAACCGATGAAACGCAACTACTTGCCGTAATTGACCGATGTCGTACGGATGAGTTGGTCGTCGGCGATCCAGCTTCGTCGAAACCGTAGAGAACCCCGTCTCCGATGGATGGATGTTTGCGAGGATCCGAAACGGCAGTGAAGAAGACGGTTTACGTGGACCGGCGGTTGATTTTCGCATCCAGCTGGGCTGCAACTATGGTAAGTGCAAATATGGTAAGTATGGAAAAGTATTATATTTCATTAAAAAGTAACGTAATTTCGATGACTTTCATATTCCCGGATTTTACGAATTATCTTTATTTGTTGATAGTTTTTTCTGTACACTGTGGTTTTGCGAATATAAAGTGTACGGTCTAAACTGTCTTGTTATTTAATGCTGACTGACTTTTGTTCTTTTTCGAGGCTGCCTTTATATTGGGGCTTTTGGGAGTTGCGGGTGGGGGAATTTAGGAATGCGTCCGTTAGGTAAGGACTAGGAATGTGTAAAGATAATGATCAGGACTCGTTAGGATTGAGGGTTCGATGGTACGGAAGAAGAATTGCAGGGACAATGGTTAGGTAATGAACATAAGGATTGGTACAAAGGAAATGGGTAGAGTGTATCAGTTTGAAGATCTGCCGGAGATAGGACAGGAATTCGGTGGGAAAGTGGAAAACGCGCAGGTAGTTGTCAAAACGGTACCTGGGATAAGGATCTGTATGCATGGGAGTAAAGGGACAAAGGGATGAGGATTCGACACCTTTAAGTAGTCCATGAGATGAGGTAGAATATGTTTCAATCCTTCGTCGAAGGACATCGTGGGATGCGTGCATTTTAATTAGTCTGCAAAATAAGTAATTCTAAGATTGAAAATTTGCATTCGATGTCGAACATAGAACAACGATATTCTCGATCGTTCAATTTCTTTCGAGCTTTTACTCGTAATGTCTCTCTTATTAACCACCAACACGGAACGAACACAGCGAATAAAAGATAAGAATGAAATGAAAGTCGAGCCAACAAAGCCAAGTTTTTTTGCATAAATTCTCGAGATATTGTAACATGTAACAACAAATATAAATATTATGAAGAGAAAAGAAACGTACTTGTATGCTTCGGTATAGGATGCCGATCCGTTCTTACCAGCGGCTAGACTAAACAAACCGCTAAGTGGCGAGCGTATCTGCTGTGCTCGTCACTGTCCGCAGATGTGTCCTAAACATAAAAAAAAACCAATTTAAGGACATATTCTAACGAACATATTCTTACGAACTGTGAAAACGTGTAAAAGAGAAACCGGGTGGTGTAGTGTTACACGCTTGACTGACGGCGTGCAAAATGCGCGTCTCTGAGA